GTCACCCCCAGCCCAGCTGTGGTGGGACAGGCCAAGGTAAGGGTAGGATAACCCCACCCCACTGCGGTTGAGAGAGTCTTTGGAGGAGGAGCTGAGGAGCCCAAAGGCTCTTGCGCGTGGTATCTAGGTGCAGATACCTAGAAGAGGTGTAGCATTAGCAACTTGCCCAGAAGTTCTGAGGCAGCACCCCAAGGCTGGCAGCATTGCCCTAGAGACCTTTGCTTGCCTTGCAGAGGAATCCGTGTGGGGTACACCCCCGACGTCCTCACCGACGCCACCGCAGAACTCTCAGTAGCTTTGCTTCTGGCTGCATGCCGCCGGCTCCCGGAGGCAGTGGAGCAGGTGAAGACGTGAGTATCAGCAGCTGCCAGCTGGAGCAAGGTCTGGCTTCTGAGCCCAGCAGCCCATTGAGTCGAGAGCTGCAGGAGAAAGCGTGCCACACTGGACAGATGAAAGGGGGCTGAAGCCAGCGTTTCCCCCAGCTTGCATTGAACATCTTGCAGGCCAAGGTGGAGTCTGCTGTGGTTCCTTGACGCTTTGGAGATGTGCTGCTCAGGGGCTGTGAGAAGGGCAGAACTTCCCTCTGTGTGCTAGGCAGAGGACCTGCAGGAGAGGGCACCCAAGGCCCCCACAGACCCCTCAAGGAGGGCGCACGCGTGGAAGGTCTAACCAGAGCTGACTGACTGGCAGGCATTCTAGGGCTGTGGTTGGCAGTGCCTACATTAAATCAGTTCCAAGGCTGCAGCTGCGCACCTGAGGTCCAAGCAGATTCCTGCGGGAGACCACTGCGGTCACTTGAAGCAGGAACCTGAGAGAGGCTGGCCACAAGATCATCTGAGTGTGCCAGAGGGGCTGGCCACCTGAAGTGTTGTACTCTCTGGCACACTTGCCCAAGTGCTGTCTGTACTGGGCTGTGAGCAGGCTCTGCCAAGCTGCTGTCTGACATCTTTCTATCTGGCTCTCTCTGCTAGTGGTGGCTGGACAACGTGGAAGCCCTTGTGGATGTGTGGCTATGGTCTGTCTGATAGTACGGTGGGCATCATAGGTCTGGGGAGAATAGGTAAGTGCAGGTCACACACCAGATTTGTGTGTCTCCAGAGATGGCAGGGTGGTTTTGGAGGTTCAGCCAAGGTGGTGTCCCCATTGCTCACCTCTTAAAATCTATGAGAGTAACAAGGAGAGCTGGGTAGAGCCTCTCTGAACAGCGATCTTGACTCATCAGGCCTAAACCTTAAAGCATTCAAATGCATCTGCTACATCTGAATGCTGCAGCAAACTGGATGTCATCCTCTCTATTTTCAGTTAAACAAATGCCCTGACAAAGTCCAAGACGACGTACTTGTTATCTGTTCAGTTGTGGACTTTGTTGGCAGATGGATGTTTGTTTCCTCACTTTTCAGTTTACCCCCTAGAGTAGCTTGAGGTTTAACGTCCCACGGCTCCCTTTCCGCAGCTTCACTGTGGCGGGAGTTCGTCCCTGCTCGTGGGAGCAGCAGCAGAAGAAGGCATCCAGCCCCTGCCCCATGCCCACCATGCTCCGGGCTTCGAAGCAGCCTGGCAGGAGTGATCGCACCCCAGCGACCCTCTCTCAAGCAGTGAGCTCTGCTGGCTGTCAGCCGCATCGTGTGCCAGCTTGCTGAAGGACGGACCACCTGGAGCGGCCTGACAGACCCCTGGGGCCCAGTGTTGGTCTCTGTGCAGTACGCCTTGTGCCAGTGCTGGCACATGGCTGGACAGTCTTCCCTCTCACTCCTAGGACAGGCAGTTGCCCGCCGCCTGAAGCCGTTTGGGGTCAAGAAGTTTTTGTACACCGGCAGTCGCCCGAAGCCGGAGAGCGCTGCAGAGTTTGAAGCCGAGTTTGGTAAGAAACGTCCAGGAGCAGGGGCAGTGGCGGGTGGTCCACTGCTGGGCAGCACGGAGCGCAATGGCGGGGATGGTGTCACCCCGTGGGGTGGGTCGGCCAGCCGGAGGGACGGTGGGAGCTGGAGGGTCTGGGTGGCTCCTCGGTGTAGCTGGCATGAACC